CTTGCTAGTGGTTACTACCATTGCGAAATCATGTTAGTAAATTCTTTTCTTACTTCTTGAACTTTCTTTTAACTTTCTAACTTCCTTCATCAATTTCTTTCATTATTTAATTATTTTTTCATGTATTAAGATCCTCATAATAAATTTTCGAGTTGTTGCGGTGCAGGGCCACATTCAATGGAATTGAATTTGGTGACTCTTTTTTAATATTTATTTATTCTCCCATGTTTATTCATTTGTATCTCCTCACCATTTGTGATAACTATAAATCAGTGCAACTTATGAAGTACAATAAGTTTGGCATATTGATTTTGCTTTAGCTGAATTACTGATAAGTTAATTTTTAATCAAATGATTATTTATAAGAATGTGAGGAGAAACAAAGGATGAAATTATGAATACATTCGTAACCAGTCGCTTGTATCTGGAAAAAGGAATGGCTTCTATTACTACTAACTGACTAGATGACGTCGGACCGAGCAGCTTAGAGACGTCTTACCCCTGTAGTCAGCCTAAAGAAGAAGATGTCTCAGAAATTATAAATCAGGGAATCTAAATCGGAGATTATTTAATAACATACATGCTAACTAACAGTTCAAAGGCATCTTCATTAACTTCAATTTAAAGAATCTAATAATGCATAATTAAAAATCTAGAAAATTATTTCAGTGCATAAACGTAACAATCAATATGGTGATGAACCAATCTCTATATTAACTCCTTCTTCAAAAGGTTATGATGCAGGCGCACTACCAGAAGAAGCTCCAGCAGCAATTCCTACTTCCAGAATTCCTGCCCCGTCGCTTCCGCCAGTTGAATCAAGCGGCTATCGCAAGAAAAGAAACAATCAATATGGTGATGAGCCAGCGCCACCAACTGAAGTGATTAAGCCAGGTGGTTATGAGGAGCAAGCAGAAGAAGCACCTGCACCAATTGAACAACCAGCTTATGAACCACCAGCAGTTGAATCAAGTGGCTATCGCGCATAATTAAAATTTCCATTTATTTAATTTTAATTATTTGTTCGCTTATACCCATAAATTTCTTGTTGTTTATTCAACCATTCATGTCAATACATTTCTTAGAAACACTTTTTTTTTAAATAAAATATTCTAATAAAATTTTTCAGGTAGGGAATAAGTATTAGAACAATTTAATTCTACAAGCCTTTAAGAAAACACTTATTTCATTTTGCTGAAGTTTTACCGCAGATGCATCAAATCTTTAATTAGTTCACACTTTTTTCATTAATACAGTATCCAAAATACGAAAAGATTACATCGTAATCAAGAAGATGTATGTGGCAAAAAGATTGTTAAAATCTAAAAAAAATAAGTGGTGCGACATTTTTGTCATTCGGAAAATCGTCCCTTTTTATAGTTTTTCATTAGAGTATTCTCCTCTTTCGTCTCGATATTTGATGCATGAATTTTTGCAAATGTCGTGTTGATTTGGTTGTTATGCATTAGCAAAGCTTCTAAATCGTCTTTAAATATAGTTGCGAGTCTAAAAAAAAATATCGTTGTTCCTACGAATAAAAACTTGCTATGCATATTCTGCAACAATATTCCATGCAATGCGATACAGCAATAAATTGCCAAAAAAGGATTTCGTTGGCTCATTTATTAATCTAAAATAGAAGTTATCTTCAAAACAAAAAATCAAATAATATAGAACGAATTTGCGCCCTAATTATCAGCGCTGTCGCAAGAAAAGAAACAATCAATATGGTGATGAGCCAGCGCCACCAACTGAAGTGATTAAGCCAGGTGGTTATGAGGAGCAAGCAGAAGAAGCACCTGCACCAATTGAACAACCAGCTTATGAACCACCAGCAGTTGAATCAAGTGGCTATCGCGCATAATTAAAATTTCCATTTATTTAATTTTAATTAATTTAATTAATTATTTAATTTTAAATTTTTTTCAGCAAATCAATGAAAAATTCGTTTTTTTAAGACAAATTTTTAATAAACGAAGAATAATTCTTGAAGTTCTATAGAACAAAACGCAAATAAAACATTATTTTGCTCAAATTTTTCAATCTATTTTTTCAATTTTCAAATTATTTTTTTTCAAAACCCATAAGCAAGTATTTATTAAATTAAAAGTTAAACGTAAATTTTAAAAATAATGTTGCAGTTAATAGCAATATTGCTATTTAGTTTCTCCCTTTTTTTCTAATTTCTTAAACCTTTTTTCTCTCGAAATTGCTATCTGCTTCTTCTTCTAACAGCTCTCCATTACTGGTTAGGCTGGCTCCAACGGCTACAAAGATAAGACGCTTTCAAGCGGCGCGGTCATGATGCCATCGTCGACAGTAATGGAAGCCATTCCTTTTTCCATCGTCTAAGTCCATATATTGCTGGTCCATCTACACGTTAAAAATCTTTTCTCACCGTATCAGTCCAGGCTTTGATTGGCCCACCTAGCTTTTGGCGGTAACCATCACACGGTTTAGCAAATAACGAAACATGCGTCAACTCCTGTGGTGCACGACGGAGAATGTGCCCTAACCAGCGAAGACGGCGCTCCGTGATAACATTATTTATGCAAGTGGTATTTGAAGGAAGATGGATGCGATCATGTGAT